GATTAGTTGTTTATACGGATAACGATTACGTAGGAGATTTAACTAACAGGAAAGAGTACTTTAGGTTATGTTGTTATGTTGAGTTCAGGAGCTTTCTCTTAGTCATCGGAGAAAGAATCAATTGTCACCTCGTCCACTACAGAAGCTGAGTTTGTTGCAGCAGCTTCATGTGCTTGTCAAGTTGTTTGGATAAGAAGGATTTTGGAAGGTTTGAATAATGTTCAAAGTGCTAGTACAACAATTTTCTGTGACAATAATTCAACTATTGAACTCTCCAAAACTCTGATACTGCATGGTTGAAATAACATATAGATGTCAGGTTTCATTTTCTTCGTGAACTTACTAAAGATGGAATTATAAAGCTGGTCCACTGTCACACTTAAGAACAGGTTGTAGGCATAATGACCAAGCCATTGAAGCTTTATATGTTCGTGAAGTTGAGAGCTTTGCTTAGAATAATTTGGTATTCAGTTTAAGGGAGGATGTTGAGAAAATTAGTTGTTCAACTTTTGAATGAGTTCAAAGATAGACATTTGTTAGTGATTTGAATAAATCTATTTTTTAGGGATTAATTATTTGTTTTTCTATTCTTTTGCCACGTTCGTAAATGTGTAAAATGTGACTGCAATTTGATTTCTTTTGTAAGGCTATATATATAGCCAAGTCAGTGTCTTAATGGTAGTATGCTTTCTTTACAGTTTCCAGTTTACTTGTGTTACGCAAGAAACTATCCTTCTACCCCGACTTTTGGACATGATTGCTAAAATATTTTCTTAACCCTGAATATGATGTTGTTGTTAGGGTGTTGTTTGAATTGATATGGAGGGACTACTTCAGGTTTCTTTCAATTAAATGCGGGAATTCCTTGTTTCATTTAGGTAAATATTCATATAAAATTTCATATTTCTTTTTAACATACATTAGATACTAATAAATTCAAAGTGAAATGTGGTTGAACTGCAAGTAATGTTGTGCATGTTGGTTTGGCTTTTCTAGGTGGCCCAAGAAAAATTGAACGCAGGTGGAGTCAAGACCCTGGGCTTTTTGAATCCTGGAGAGAGGGTCGTACTGGGTATATTACTTAGTATGAAATTGCATATCTCTGTTTTCTTGTCAACCAACATCTCCTTTTTCCAGTTCTTTTACTCGTCGTAGCTAAATCATCTTCGGTTTGTGGTTTCCATCTTTCCTTCACTTTTATTCAGAAGGCTTCCCTTTTCATTATATAGTTCCTTGTTATGATCATAATTTCTACCACTATACTTTTCTGGTTGGTACTTCTTCCTTCTGCTCTAGCTTTATAGAATACGTGGAGCAGCTTGTTTGGATACCAAGGAGATTGAGAAAGAATTTGTTCTTTTTTCTACAACATTCACCTTTTCATCTGAATGAACACCATTAACTTTTAGGTACCCCCTTATAGATGCCAATATGAAGGAACTCTCTGCCACTGGGTTCATGTCAAATCGAGGAAGACAGGTAAACACTTTTTTTTAACATGTCTATATGTTTTTTTTGTCCTCAAGAAAATTCATAAATCTGGAGTAGCTACAGAAGCACCTCTGTCAAATCCTTAGATATTGTCTCTGCAGAACTAGTTTTTGATGCATGTACTAATTAGTTTAGACATATTCAGATTGTGTGTTCCTTTCTTGTTCGAGATATGGGTATCGACTGGCGTATGGGAGCTGAATGGTTTGAGACATGTCTCTTGGATTATGATCCATGTTCGAACTATGGAAATTGGACCTATGGAGCAGGTGATGCATCTCTGCTTTCTTTCCAACTATTATAAGCATGTGTCATTTTTGGGCACATTCTTAAGCTGCATGTAGTTCCACAATGGTCTTATGAGATGTGCAGAGGCGGTTCATCTTGAAAAGTAGGGTGCATTCAAGTTGGAAATAGGCCTGATCAGTACCAACTTCACCCTTTATAGTATAAATAGAGGGAAACAACACAAATAATTTCTGTAATGCTAAATTCACGTCTTCATCCAACAGGTTAAAAAAAATGGCAAGGCTGTTCATCTTGCCACAAAATAGGAGCAATAAGGTGGCAATGAAAGAAGGTCCTGTCTTCCATTTGTTTTCACTCATTTCATTTCTTAATTTGTGCATTCCATTTTTTTTTTCTTTCACTCCATATTTGCTTTCTGTGTTTCCATTTTATTTTTGGAAAATAAGTCAGAGGTGTCGTTACCAACAGGCTTCTCAGGAGTCCTTAAGTAATATACTGGGAAATTCTGCTCATAGGAATCAACTTTAAAGGAAAAAAAATCTGAGCAACTATTGATGCTGATTTAGTTTATAATTATGGGATTTCTCTGCCAAGAAATATCGAAATATTAACATTTTTTCATATTGTTCTACTTTTAAGGAGTTGGGAATGATCCACGAGAAGATCGCTATTTCAGCATCCCCAAGCAAGTAAGTGCTCTAAAATATATACTGATAGTTTTCTTAAAAAAGTTTTCTGCAGGAGAAAATTATATATAAATATTTATATTTAAGTAGTTATGTTTTTTGATAGCATTTGATAACTAATATGTGTGTTTTGAATCATAATAACCTATGCATGTTACAATAGACCCGAGCTACTAATAACAAAAATCACAGCTCCTTTCTTACAGTCCTGAAGATTATTCTTAAATTAAGAAAATGGAAACATGTTCTATTGTTTATTTATTAATTTTTCTGGAAAGGAACCTGTATTCTCTTTTACGAGGAGAAATGTTTAGTGTACATTTGCTGGTAATGCTACTACTACTATAAGGCATAATAACTAAGGAGACTATGAGCATAATCAAAACCTTAATTTAATAGTTGAGATACTTAAACCTTCTTGGCTCTTTCAGGCACAAACATATGATCCTGACGGTGAGTATGTAGCATATTGGTTGCCACAGTTACGAGCACTTCCAGAAGGTAAAAGAAACTTTCCTGGAAAGTCGTACATAGATCGAGTTGTACCTCTCAAGTTTGGAAACACTAACGAGGGACGTAGCCGAGGTACCATGGTTTCTGCTAAAGCAAACCAAGTTTAGAAAGAATCAAAACAGGGGATATAACAGGTAGGAGAGTGCAGACAAATTTAAGTGCTTTTTCCCTATTTGATTGATGATGAAGACAGTCTTCACAATGGAACATGTTTCATATGACCTCCATTTATTTTGGATGCAGGCAAATTCAGAAAAGAAAAAAAAAAAAAAGATTTGTTATGTAGTTCATAATAGAACATATATAATTTGGTCGTACATTTATTTATTTAAAATGTGGCAAAGAAAAGACTATTAATAGCAATTACCAAATCAATATCTTTTCGTATATGTTATTGAAAGTGAAATTTTGCGCATGTATTCTTATGTTGATTTTCCTTGTATGTTTCTAATTTTTTTTATCAGATTTCTAATTAATTTTTTGTATTAAAATATCATACGTACGTAAATATATAACATTAGAAAAACGGGTTGATATATCCTCATATGTGATTATTTATTTAGTCATGAATGATTAAATTATTTTTTAAAATCTATATTGCTACATTTTGTTATTATTTTTAGCTATCAAAAGTTAACGTTTTTATTTCATAAATTATCATTCATAATTAATACTATTATTTACAAGAACGACAATGAATCAATATAAAATAATAATAATAATAATAATAAAATGTTAAACTAGCTAGTCAAAAATACAAAAAAAGAAACAATTGTAGGAGTTTTATCAATTATTATGATTAAAAAAAAAATAAAGAATAAAACAGTCAACATTACATGGTGTAAATTATTTCTAATAGAAATATCATATGATTATGCAATCTTTTTTCCGAAATTAACTGGAACCAAATTGCTCCCAGTAATTGTAACAGAGAGAACCCATGTGAAAATATTTTGAGATACCTATAAAAATTTTGCAGATTTGTGTGTATATATATTTTTAATCTCCACCCAATTCGAGAAACTCAACAATGGAAATTCTGCTGTATTAACTAAACTAAATAGATTTGGTACTACAAACGTGTCTGCATACATATAATCAAGGGTATAAGTGAATATATATATATAAAATATGAAATATAACCGTAGTTTCATTGGTCGAATTTGAAAAAGTCATTTTAAATTGCCAAAGATAGGCCCAGTTTATAATTAATTTTGCACCATAAGGGAGCATCTGTATTTAGCCATGATCAATTTTTGTACAATACTACTATAATATTTGAACTATATTCTACTAGTGGGGAGAGACAAAGATTATCTTTGCATATCTCAAGTACGTAAATGATTATCAGATTACTTACGTACATACTAGCATCTAATATTCAAATAATGTAGCCAAGTAATTAGCAAATATTATATATAATTAGCAAATCTTTTAAATTCAATAAGATTTGAAATCAATTGATTACATTTACAAATTCTTTCAATTTATTTGCCGTTCTAAATACCTAATAATTACTCATAATTAGCCATATAACAAAATATATATATATATATATATATTATATGCTCTTGAAGTCCAATAAAATCACTGGGAAAACCTCAAAATTAATTTCTTCAAACAATAAAAATTCATACATGTTTTAATAATTAGGTGTCATCTATATGTATATTAATAATTTTATAATTTCTTCACAAAAATTTGTACAATTTAATTTAAATTCACACTTTCATAAAGAGGTGTGAAAGTATCAATCATACAGTTAATGAATGATTGATCTCAAATTAGTTGTTAATTAATTTGAAGAGTTAAATCAGGAAATCAGCCTGTATTGAATCTCTCTATTACAATCTTGTTCCCCAGAGCTTTAATCTAGATCATGGATATGATACATAAAGGCTCTACCCCGATATATAATTAATATCAGTAATCAGAATCCTTGAATGCAGATACACGCACAAACGCGCGCATCTCCCCCCCCCCCTCCACAAACGCATGTATGTATGTATGTGTGTGTGTATGTATGCGTGTGTGTGTATATATATATGTCTGTGTGTGTTTATAGTTAATTAACAGGAGGGGGTTGAGACGTATGGTGGATGTCTCTTCTTTATCAAGAACTGCAAGAAAAAGACTAAAACTAATGATATACCAATTAAGTACCAACTTATATTATAAGTTGTGTGAGTAGATATGCTATAAAACTAACTATATACGTGTATATATTATACGTACGTACATATATATATATATATATATATATATACACAAACTTTACGTTATTTTGGCATGTAACTACTCTTTTGGATATTGTGCACCCTTTTGGGAACAAAAATCATCTCAGCACTCGATTCCCTCTAATTTCTTGCAGCCTTAAACAAATTGAATTAATCACGTATAAATTGATAACGTCCATATCAAAACTGTATAATTCATTTTGGTGAATGCCAATTAAGTACACCGAGAAAGACGTAACGATGAGATTAAAAGATAAAATTCTCTTATTAAATTTTGAAGTGCTTGACAAGTAGCATGCCAAATATGAATCTAGCAAAATTTGGGTTAGGGTCTTATGTATTGCTTCTAGAGAATTTTCTTCAAAAACACCTATCAACTACTACTTCATTATTACATTAGATTTGATAAAGTCGTTGATCATTATTATTTTTATTATTATTTTTTCTTATAAAAAGACTCTTATCAAATAAAGCATTGATCACGTATATGATTTCGTGTTTTTGAAGTATCTATTTCTATAATATTAAAAATTTTCTACTATGTTTTAGCATCACAACACGCAATTTAGTTTATAATTTGGTTATAATAACAAGACGATTAATTTTAAATAATTGTCGCAATTTCTTCTACGACTAAATATATGTTAACAACATTAAGTATATATAACAAAAATTAACTACGTGCATCTAGTCACACATAAATTTGAAACATCTAGCTCGTTATTAATTTGATATATGATATACATATATATTGAGATGTTTCCGATTAATTTTCTATATGTACACACATTATTTTATATGTCGAGCAATACATATATGTGTTTGTAAGGATTCCATAAAGACTTAGTTATTAAATACATATAATAATAAATTAGGTTGTTTAAAATATTTTGAAGTGCAAAGCAAGTAGGCTAGTAACTTCGGTGTGCTTGCCATAGCAAAGCTAGTTTTTCATTATCTCTAAGGAGTCAGAG